TATATATATATATATTACATTAATTATATTAATATCAAAAATAAAATATTAAATATAATATTAATATTAAATTAATATTATATTATAATCGTAAATATTATATATGCTAAAGTATATGCTATAGTAATATAATATATAGTATACATAATATAATATATGTATATGTTACATATTTAAATTATAATACTCTCTCTTTCTCCTTCTTTTAGCACTTGTGTGTAGCATTTATACAAATGTTCAATAGAGAATTAAACCTTGAAATTTGAAGAAAATACAAGGACAGTAAACTTTAAGATTTATGTTGATTATACAAGGCAATATATACACGTGTATACCTATACGTGTTATAATAGAAAGATATTTAGTACTAGGTCGAGTGTGTAAGCTTGAACTTCAACTGGAGAACGTTAATCACGTATTTACGTATCGTATACTATACTTGATAAAATAAAAAATATTTCAATTATTACTTATAAAATGTTATATTTTAAAGAAAGAAAAAAACAAAAGAATATTTCTCGATCAGGTTCTAAGTGAAAGTTTAAATGATTAATTCATTTAAATATTTACAAAATGTTTTTATTTTATCTAATAAAAAGTTATGTGTTCTGTTTAATATAATATAATCATAAAGTCTGATAAATATATATAATGATCTTGATTAAAGACGTTCATATATTTACATACATACTTCGAACATTATCTTACTCACCTTTTCTTTTCTTGAAAGGAATTCCCACATTGGTATTGCTGATCCAATGACTTGCATTGTCATAAAAGAAATGAGAAAAATGGTGGTAAAAATCATTTGAGTCTTCATCTTGTTTTTTTTTTTTTAATGTCTAATATAATATATATGAATGAGTGTATATATATATATGTGTATATCTCACTCGAGGATTAATACTTGAAAAAGTGAAAATTAATAAACCACAAAATTTATTATCTGTTTATTTATATATATATATATATATATATATATTTTGTTAAAACACTACACCACTTATATTTTAGTTAAACATAATGTGTTATAAAAGAAAGGAAAAGAACAAAAGAGAGCTGATTTTTAATCTGTACGAATATATATTTATGTATATATATATATATATATATATATATATACATATACATTCGTTCTCAGCAACTGATTGACACAGTACTACCTTCGAATCGTTCAAAACATTTCATTTTATGTTCCACCACAAGTTGTTGTTTCGCGGTACTCCCACTACCTTCTACTAGGATCCCTACCTTCTACTACACAACAGTGGCGCTACTAGCGGTTTCTCCCACTACATGTTGGCGCTAATCGTGTCGCTTCTCTAATGTATTATTTATATCCATATTATATATACAAATATTATTTGTATATATAAAAGACAAATGTTTATATACAAAGATATATATATGTGTGTGTGTGTGTCTTCATTTCTATCAAACAATTCCCCATTTGGTGAACATTTGTTTTAAATAAAGATATTTCGATTCATATACATGTATATTATTGATTGAAACAAAATATTTGACATTTTATATTTTTTACGATAGATATATAATTTATTATACATGTCATCAATGTCATTTGTAAAAACAGGCATAGAATGTAAATAAAGTATATGTTATTTTAATTATATGCAACAAACACCGACAAATACTCAGTTTCACTTTTGTGGATATGTATAAATATATATATTTATGATGTGACGTTATTTTTCGACAATTATAAATCATTAAACATATTAAGAAATAGAAAAAAAAATCTTTATTAATATATTTACGGATATGCCTTGAAAAGGAATTTAAATTGATAACTACTTTTACCTGTAATATTTCGACGTATGCATTTTAATAAGGCATGTGACTGTTTTGGAAAAAAAAGCAGACATCGTCATCGAACAGCAGACGTCAAAAAATTTTGGTTTCTCCCGTACCTTGAAATACCGGAGGTGCTTCCGTGAGAGCATCATATTTTTATGTCTCAGATTACTGTTCGATGACGTTATCACAAAACTATATCTATATATGTAATAAATACGTATATATGTGTATGTAGGTGTCATATAAATATCTTTCATTATTTTTTAAAATAATTTTTTTGTCCTAAGAATGACCTAATGCAATATAGTATTAAAATACAAAAAAATTTATAATTTCTCTTAATAATAATAATTTATATCTATCTAATTTTTATTTTATTAATATTTTAATATATATCAAATTTTACTTGGAATACAAGTAATAAAATATTTTTGAAAACTTACTACTGATCGAGTATACTATTTAATGTCATTTCGTTTTCGTTCAATATATACAATAATATATATATATTAATATATACGTACAGTATTTGTGATTTACAAAAAAAAGATATGTTAATATTATTACATAAGCAAGAAAATAATAAATCAATGTTATCAAGGCTATCAATATGCGAACAAATGTTAATATCGGTTCATAGTTCCTGGAGATATATCTGTCATCGGTTTCCAAATAAATGTGCATGACATACCTAAAGGCTTAGTAAATCTTTAATGGTGTCATAAATAAAACACGTGGTAATTTCACTACTGGCGCCAATACGACCGCTATCAGACGCCTATCCCTACCTTTCGTATATTTATCCGAAATCTGCATGCCGGTTTTGGTTTGAATAATAAATTGAATAGTAATGTGAGCCAATACATACGTATAACGGAATTTATTTTTTCTTTTTTCTATTTATTTTTTATTTATATGACATGTAAAATCTCTAATAAAATAATTTTATTTTATGTTATAATTTTTGGTTTGATCTAGAAATAATTATTAACAAAAAATGGATATTTCATAAAGAAAAGGGAAAAATCGTTTATCTGATTATTAATATCTAATAAAAAAAAAGATATAAATAAGTTTGTCTATTGAATTTAAAATTACAGATTTGTATATTAGGATCGTGTTTTTTTTTGTGAAAGTAGAGACTCGATGACATCAATCTCGAAGGTATGCGAGACGTAAACATTAAAAACGATTTAGATGTAATTTAATGATCTCGAAATTCCTACAAAATGTGTTTTCATTTTGAAAGATTTCGTTGTTGACGTCAGGGGAAATAACACTTTTGATTACCAATATCACATAAATTGATTGACGTTACAGTTGTATACGAATCGAGTAGATTTTGCGTTATAAAAAATTTTAATTAAAGAGAAAAACATTATTTGCATTTATAAATATATATATATATATATATACATATTTGTCTTGTATATATAAACCACTTATAGTCCATTCTCGAATAATGGTAATGGTCATGTATTCTCTCCTTCTATATGTATGTATATATACATACATAATCAGATAAATTACAGATATATAAAAATATATATTTATTATTGTGCATGCAAAAAAGCGAATATAACGATTATGTTTAAATTTAACAAACATAGTGTGTGATATAAGCAATGTTAAAAAATCACTTATATGTAGGCGTGATTATTCATTAATATTGAAATTAAAAAAATTCAGTAAAATATTTTGTTTTGACTTCATAGTTAAGGAAGACTGATAAAATTTTATTTATTTATATTTCATACTACTTTTTTCCGATGATTCGCTTTATCTGGTTTTACTCCATATTTGTGGATCTATTTCTATGTTTGCTAGGTTTTATCCGAACGTTTTTAGTGTGATTACCATTGCTGATATGACTATTAGCACTATTTTTACGTGTTGTTGTTTTCATATATTTTTTATTTCTATTGCTAATGGGGTGTTTTACTTACTAGTACTTTTTTCTTCTTTCTTTGTTTTTATGTTTATATCACTTAGGATATATATGTTATGAGGTATGAAGTTTGACTACTGCGTTGTTAGTTTTTATTGTCAAAGTATGTCAATATATTTTTGACTTAGTGTTGTGTAATTTTATTATGCTATTAACCCCAACTTCTTGTTTTTCTGGGCAATGTTATTCTTTTAATCACTGCTTTTAGGTGGTGCATTTTGTTTTTTTTAAGCATTATTTGCATTGTCCTATTAAATCCTTTATTGGCCATTTCTGTCCATTTAATTATGCCGAATGTGCTTATTTATTCTATGATTTTTATCAATCTATCTCTTTGGTTTCGGATTTTTCTGTATAATTTTGTCATGTACATTAGATAGTTTATTCTGTGTAGTGTTCTTATTCTTTTCTTTATTTCAAATTCATATTTCGTTTCACTTTATTATTATAATTATTATTATATAATTATTATTATTATTTATTATAATATTATTATATTTCTTTCAAATAAAATTATATATTTAACTGAACAATTTTGTCTTCTTTATGTTGTATGCATATTAACATCGACCATATGCATGATGGGATTGATGAGCTGAAATAATTATATATATTTACGGAAAAAATGTTTAGTAATAAATAATAAAAAAAAAAGAAAGATGTATTAAAAAAAAATTACCCTTATAAAACTCAGTAAGAAAATTTACTTCCGGTAGAAGTACATGAACCCTCTGTAAAATCGTAGCTTTAGGAGCCAAGGCAGCATTTACGTTCCAAATCTGAAAATATGTAACATTTAATATTATGATTTACGAAGTACAGATAAAAAGGCTAAAGAAGGCAAAGACAATAGAATAAGTTAAAATACCAAATTAAGCATAGAAGTATATAAAAGGATAGTTAGAGAAAAATTTTATAGAACAACTCAGGAAAATATAGAAAGGTGGAGGGATGCCAGAGGATTATAAAACAGAATTAATAACATCACTGTAAAAGAAAGGAGATATGACAAAGGTAGGCAACACTGAGGAATTATGTTATCAAATATAATTTGTTATGTTAGTGTTGCTATGTTAGCACAATTATTCAAAAGAAAATAAAAAATACACCTGTATCAAATCTTCCCTATCCCTGATAGAGACAGTAACACCGCAGACCTCATCACCTTCTGCCATGCATTCAGCAAACTGCTCTCCAATAGCCGCAAGTACTACTTCCTGCCATATTTTAGCCTAGAAAATATTGAAAAATTTAATATTAACAAATAAAACAGTTAAATATATGACGAAGAGTTCGATCTCTTACAGTGTCAAGCTTATGACATTTTAATCTCCATGTTCCGCCTTTTTGATTGATAGGTTCTTCCCATATAGGATATCTATCATCTCTCATCAGATGATAACTATATTTAACCTGTGAATACGATATCATCTAATGCTTCTTTATCTTAATAAAATCAAAATATCATTTCTTGTATTAAAATTTATTATCGTTATGACAAAAATATAATTGTTTCATATTACATTATTTTGACTTACTAGTATAAACAATGTAAGTCAAAATTTATTTACAACGTGTGTGTCAAAAAGATAATACCTGTATTTCAGCAGCATTTGGAATGTTATTGAAGACTGCCCAAAAGCTTTGTACAGTATTCACTGTATAAATCTTCTTTAAATTGGCTTTATATTCTTCGGCAGTTGTACCAGAAATAGCTCTGTTAATTTCATTAATTTTTTTTGTAACTTCTATCACACTTTTTTTAAATTTAATTTTATTGCGTTATCAATCAATGTTTTTAAGCCAAATATTATTTAATATAAACGATTTTTTTAAAAATTATGCAAATAATGAAAAAGACTTGTATTAAATAATTAGAAAAAATAAAAGTTAAAAAATATTTAGATGATAAGATTTATTAATTATATTAGAGCATAAATACTCTTTACAAATCCTATTCACTTGTTTTTCTAATTTAATTTTTTAGTTCTTAATCAGCTTGCTTCAAAAAATGTATATGATCTTATACGATTTTGAAAAATTCCGGCATAAATATTATTGTTAATCAAAATCCATAAGATCATTTGACGAATATACTGATTTAGCATGCAAATATTGTCACAATGATAATGTGTAATGATATAGAGCACTTTTCATCCAAAATTGCAGATTAAAAATTGTATATAATGTTGATTTAATATTCTATTTTTTTTATTATAAACATTTTTTTACGGCAGTATATAAATAAAAATAAGTAATCAACGATAAAACAACCAAGAGAGAGAGAGAGAGAGAGAGAGAGAGAGAGAGAAAGGAAAAGGAGAAAGTTTTAAAAAGAGAATTTTGGATGCATAAGTGCTATAGACACATAAATGGTACATGCGTATGAAAGTTAATTATTATTTTCTTACTTGTCCAACCAAAATGTCCAGGAAGATTGTAACGGTAATCCAGTAGTGTCATGTTCTTCTATCGCTTTAACGGTTTTACTAGAAAATACCGGTGATATCGACAAATCTGATTGGGAATTGTCATCTTTCGACTCACATTGTACCGCGGCCATCTTCGAAATGCAATGTGCAATTGTTTTTATTTCAGAAATCATATGACAATTCTCGTCACATCTGCAATTGGAAGAAAAAATAATAGAGAGATAAAGAGAAAGAAAGTGAGATATTAATTAAAAAAAACAGATTATATAATTAAATGAAAACAAAAAAAAAACAAATTTATGATCTATTTATATTTATAAAATATAGTTAGATCGATCTACTGCACCGACGTAAATGTGATAAACAATAACTATTTGTATAATTATTATGGATAAAAGTCTTAAAGCGACCTCTTGTTAATAACTTTCTAACCTAACTTAAACAAAATATAATATACATTATCAGTAAAATTAAACTTAAAAATAATAATAATAATTATTATTATTATATAATATATAATAATAAATATTAACTTATTTATATATTTTTTATATCTTTCATTTAATTATTATTTTTCAAAATAATTTTATTCTGGATATAACCTAAAATCTGATTAATTTAAAACATTTTTCCCCTTGTTTTTTTAACTATCCATATAAATTGTAATTTTTTTTTGAATATATAAAATATCTTCAATTATGTGCTATGGATATAGGCAAGGATAATTTTCTAATGGTTTATATTTAACACACATCATCAAACTTAAAAATGCGCAGTCATTATTGCACAGGAACATTGTAACAAAAGAAAAGTTTATACAATATATATACCCTCTATGCTATGCGATGATAAATAATGTGGTGATAGAGAGAGGTTTATGTATTTAGATATAGATATGGTTTTTTATTTGCATGATTGTCAAGTTGGATTGCTTATCTCATGATTGAAACAAAAGTATGAATTCTTTAATGTGTACGTATACGTGCGCATATGTATCAAATTCTTTAACTGTTATATTAAATTTTGAGATAGAAGTTGAATAGGTTAGGTTAAAAATGAAATAATTTTTGTTTGAATAGATTCTTTAAAACAATAAACTGGAAAGAATATTCTTATAGATCCAAATACAAAAATTCTTTTCAATAAACAAATATGTGGGTATTTGGTTATGGATCACTTATATGGAAAGTTGATTTTCCTTATGAAAAAAGAATCATCGGTTACATTAAGGGATATGTGAGACGATTTTATCAAAAAAGTACTGATCACAGAGGAACACCCGCTAAGGTGCGTTCAACAATAAAAATATAATTGTTTAGTAAAAAGTTCTTAAATCTATCTTCTTAATTTTTACTTTGAATTTTGAGTCATATAATATATACATATATAATTTTTAGCCTGGCCGTGTTGTTACCTTGCTTCCATCCGACAATCCAAATGATGAAGTATGGGGTCTTGCTTATAAAATATCTGGTGAAAATGTAGATAATGTTGTTGCACATTTAGACTTCAGAGAAAAAGGTGGCTATAAAAGAAATACTGTTCTCTTTTATCCTTATGCTAGTCTTAACGACGTTGACAAAAGTCTTTCTTCTACTTCCTTAGACAATATTGTAAATACAAATAATACAATTATAGAGCCAATTACAGATAAAGATCCGTTCTACCTGACAATCTATATAGGTAGCAAAGATAATCCTAATTATGTAGGCGCTGAAAATATAGAGACATTAGCAAATTGTATATTTAATGCACATGGTCCTAGCGGATCAAATAGAGAATATCTTTATAAATTAGCATCTGTTGTACGTACCTTAATTCCAAATGCTAACGATGAATATTTGTTTTTATTAGAAAAAGCTGTAAAAAAGTTAGAAAAAGATTCGGAGAAAAAAAACGAATAATATTAATATGCAGAAAACTTATTTATATACAATGTACAGAGTCTATTTAATTCTATAAGAAAAATTATTTAAAAAAAAATGATTTTTTATCAATTAAATTTTAACATTTTTCAAACTTTTTGCAAAATTAAAGAAATATTCTCTTCTATATTAATAAAAAAAAATTATTCGTATATAAAAAAAATATTTCATATATAAAACGTATTTAAAGTATAAAATTATTCATTTCATGATAAATACAATTTTGGAAAATATAAATTCAATCTAATATGAATACATTGTTTAATTTGTTTTCAATCCTATCTTTCCAATTCGTATTCCCGCGTTATATGTCAATGCATTACATGTGTAGGAGGTGAGCGTACTGGGAGAGGGAGGTCAAAGTAAGATATAGTATACTATGTATGGTGGTTGAGAGAGAAGAGGTAATATTACTAAGGAAGGAGTGAGTGAGAAAGAGAGTGCGTATAAGAGAAAAAAAAGATAGAAGCAATAAAGTCGATGGTCTCGTTTGCTTAGTTCCATTAATAGTACGAGTTGTATAAAATTTACTAGAATCTTTCCTCTTTCTAGAAAAGAGAACGGGGTGACCAATAGTGACAAATGTGAATACATCTTTTCACCGATTTCAATGTTTATTTCATATATATACATGAATAAATATATATATAATTATATTTGTGTAATCAAATTAAAAAAATAATTGAAATTTGTTTTAGTGTTATCGACCAATGGAAATAAAGTGTGAAATGAAATTTCTATAAAAATCGAACTTCGTTAAAAAACTTTATAATACGTGACGATCTCGAAGAGAGGACAAGACTTGAGCATGTAATATATATACTTGTATACTTACATATACATACAAAGAACATTTTCAACAGAGTATCGACTTTTTTCTTACAACGTATTGTTGTTTTTTCTCTGCTACTGTACATACATTTTTTCAAGAGGATACTCTACATACCATACAGTTATGGTTTGTATTCTACTACTTATTTACTTTTCGAATTATTGCGTCAGATTTGATTAATTTATTTTTGAAAAAAATAAAAGTAGAAGTATTTAAGTTGAATTATTTGATTTATTTCATAAATTTTTCTTTCAAATATATACAATTTCTGTTTATTTATATATACAAAATAATAGGGATATAGTCCTTTTCATATTGTGTGTAACGTATATTTATATATGTATATATTATATCTGTGCCAAGAAGATTTAAAAGATTGGATTACGAAAGTTTTGATTGAAAGTGTGTGTTGTGTGTGTAACGTCGTTGGGTCCACATATACACACAAATATATACTTCTATATAACATATACTGCGTACTGACAGTTCGTTTTGCTGTTGGTCATTGACGCTTTGAACTATATACTTCTGCTTTTGTCTTCTTCTTTCTAAAGAAGATTAGACGAACAAAATACTCTCTGTTTAGTTTCTCTTTTCAAGTAAGTGAATTTGTTTATGGATTTATTCAACGAGTATTTTAATTTACTTATTAATATTACTGATTATAGTGTATTTATTTAAATATAAAATAAGAACAGAGTAAAACAGTTAAAGTGATCTTTCAAAAATGATTTGAAAAATTTCGTAACACTTATAATTAGATATGTAGGTTTCTATATGTCAAAAGAAATAAATTTTTATTTTTGGTTGTTTTTAATTTTACTTTTTTTTTATTTGTTTTCTTAAAATTCTTTTTTCTAGATAATAACTAATCTAATTTTCTTTTTTTTTATCATCCGTATTTAAGCATAATAATTTTTTTTATCTATATTTTATACGAATATAGGTATCACACTTGCGTCATTTTGTGTTTATGTGTATATGCATGCGTGTTTGTGCGTGTAATTCAATAATTGTCTAAATTTGGTATCGTTTATATTATATGAAAAAAATATATAGAGATACAATTGGAAATTAATATATTTTTAAATTGATTTTTTTTTTTGAAAGAATTCTTTTTATTTTTATACAATAATTCATTAGACTCGTACAAGTAATGATCATTATGAAAAAAGAAAGAATATATATAGTGACTCACAAAAATATTCGGATACTACAGTATGACCAACTTTGTGGCTTCATATTTCCATTGTTTATAAAAACAATTACTCTGATTATGGTTTTTAGCAATAGGTCATTTATTAATTTTGATAAAAATATATAGTTTTTTTTTTGAAATTTATATATATATATATATATTGGATGATAAAATTTATTAAACAAAATAACATATTTTTGACTCATTGAATCATTTGGACAAAGTTCATTTAACTTATTTAATGTAAATTAAAATTCAGAAAATAATTTTAATACTTTGTGACATAATTATTTTTTTTAAATATAAAAAATAAAAAATATTGTATAGTTACATTTGCTTATTTATTTTAGAGTTTTTGTTTTGATTCAAAATTGGAGTTTTCTGAATTTCCTTATCTTATTTATCCCATACATTTTGAACGTGATTAAGCTCCGGTAATTATAGTTGGAAGTGAAGAATTTTGAGAAATTTATTTAATAAGAATTTTTGCGAGAAATGCATGCCTTATATTTAAGTTGTTTGCTTAATAGAAATTAAAGCTGTTATTAACTTCCATTTTTTCGACGTTTCCAAGTAAACTGTTTTTAAATATGTTTAAGTAAAGATTTTGATCCACAATGTTGTAAATGAGCACTAAGTTTCTAATTCCATATTATGAAATGTAGCCCTATAAAGTTATATGATTTGATATTTTTTCATGAATTATCGTATAAGAGCTCATATCTACGTGAGATTTGTCATGGTGTGTTTGCAGATATATTGCGTAAGAAAGTCAAGTATTTTATATTGCATTGAAAGATACCAAAAATGGATATCGAATCGTCCTTAACACAAAAAATAAAAAATAGTGATAAATACGTATTTTCATTAATTTAACAATAAGTTTTTAATACATACAAATAATTTTTTATGCGTTAATATTATTTTGTATGAAATTTTATTCAAAAATTTTTAATGATGTTCGTAATGTAACGTTAAAAAGGAACATATGTATATATGTATATAGTTCGTTAAAAAATTGGTAAAAAATAACGTGTCAAGTTTTTATTGCATATTTCGGTACGTAATGCGCTATTGCGACCTAATATTACGTACATGCAAAATAAAAAGTTTTCTTTCTTACGAATGAAATTTTAGTTCATGGTAGATAAGATATATTTAAAGAAAATATTATAAACATGTGATGTCGTTTGCTTCCTTTGTTTTCATTTCGTGAAACTTCTCGTTTCATTCCAGTTTTGATCAAGGTCTGTTTACGCCTGAAATGATCATACTTATAGATTCTCTTATAAGTGAATGTTGTGATAACCTTGAAATCATGATTACTTGCAAAGTTTCTTATTTTGTAGAATAAATATAACACATTATTCGTCACAAAGAGATTTTCTTTGAATCTTATTACGTACTGATAAATTAAAGAAGGATATCATGAGATACACTTAAATATTAAAGTACATCCTTTTCTATTTTATAATCAAATTCAAATTCTTAACAATATATGTACTCATATTATATATTTTTATTTTACAGATATAAGGCCAGCCAGTTGTGTCATTCTTATTGAGTGATTAGAATTTTTAGTTTTCAATCAATAACTTGTTGATTTGTATACTGAAATTCTACCGTTTCCATAGTAAGCGGTTTGATCACACAATATAAGAATGGACACATCAGGCTTTCCTGTACCAGATGCAATCCACCCACTACTTGAACAATTGCAAGAAGCATTGGTGCTGGAGGTTAAATATCAACCTGATCTTCAACTACTCACTACAACTCAAGTAAGTTATTAACATTTTATTTCTCTTAGATATCGCATATATTTATATAGGCAATAAATATAAAATACAATCAATGTATGCTACAGAATGATGAGATTACTATTGAAGCACGGGATGGATCTGCCCATGTATTAAGATGTTTGAAAGTATGGTATGATTTACCATCTGATGTATTTTTTCTTGCTATTAATTTGATGGATCGATTTTTAACTAAAATGAAAGCCAAACTGAAACATATGGCTTGCATCAGTGTATCAGCTTTTCATATCGCAGCAGTTCAAATGGCTCAATCTTTGGATGCTGATCATTTGGTATCTATTTCTCAGTGCAAGTGTACTGGTGGAGATCTTAAGCGTATGTCTGAAGTAATACGTAATAAATTAGAATGGGTACCTGATATACAACCAATTACATCATTAACTTTTCTACGTTTGTTCAATACAATGTTTTATACTGTTGCATTGCATTTGGGTATTGGTGATATATATACTAATGTTTTAATGGTAAATATTGCTAAAAATAATTGTTAATATATGTAATATTTTCAAAATTCTAAGTTATATGTATATGTATGTAATTTAGGAGTCTGAACTTTTTCTAAGATTAGAAATGATAGCTTGTAATGGAAATTGTGCAAGTTTAAGGCCATCGGAAGTAGCTTTGGTCTTATTCTGTACATATTTAAAAGCATCCATTACACGATTAGATGCTAATAAAGATGTTAATACTTCCGCAACATCTATGATTGCTGATCCTTCTACTATGAATTCATCTGTAACATCAGCACATCAAATGTTAAAATTGCTAGAATTTTCTACTGAACTACAAAAAATATGTAAGGTATGACACATATAATATATATAGATAACAATGTGATGATTATAAATTATGCAAAAAGTAAATATTAATATTATTTTATAAAAAAAAGATTTCAAGAGATAGCTATGTTTCTACTCATGAAGCTGTAAGTGCAGTTTTGAATAAATACAATGCCCAAGAACAAATGCCACATAGACAGAGACTCATATGGAAATTATCTTCACGTACAGCACGTCTTTTGCGTCCTACTGATAAATTTACATCTGTTTTACCTGTCATTGCTGAACACACTCCAGTTCCATCTCCAAGTAGAATAAGGTAAATTGTGACATTTTATTTAATTAAATAAGTTTTAAGTATATATAAATGATAAATATATAATAATAATATATAAGTGACCATACAAAAGATTCAGACTGCAATTTGCAATCAATTTGTGACCAATTTATGACCACTTTATGACTTGATATTAGGATTATTTATAAAGCAATCGACCTGACTATTTTTTTTTTAAATACACTTTAATTATATATTAATCTAGGTAAATATATTATTTCGTTTAGTAATTTTTATTATGTATAACTAAGATTTTTGTTATACTATTTTAGAAAAAATCGTAAGTTTTCTCGTCGTCATGGAAACAAGAGGCGTTAATATATTTCGCTTATAATAAAGGAATAATAAGCAAAGAAGATCTATCGTATCTGGACGAATGAGGATTTAAAATGGCATTTTCCAACACAATATTTAATAATAGACACTATATAGACCTTGTGTGTTTCTTGAAAATGCAAAATCATTCAATGTAAGTCAATATCTTATCATGTTATTTGAAAAGCATGACACATGTGTATAATTGTTCGTTTATTTTTATTTCTCTTATTTATTTTTGAATTTTTCTAAAGTCTATTTTCTAAATGAAAATACAAAATTTATGAATTAGGAAAATATGATGATTTTTTTATTTTTATTATATGAACCAATTATTTGTTATAAATATTATAAAATATTAGAAAAGGAATTAAATATATAATGAAAAACAAAAAAAAAAAACAGAAAAACAAAAGTCGATTTCCTCCTTCTCTATATAAAGTGAAATTTTATATAATATAATATATTTATATGTTGTTTATGTAACATATATATATATTTGACAGACATTTTAAAATTATATATTTATAGTATTATTATTCTATTAGAAAGGGAGAAAAAAAAGAAAAACGAAAAAAAAGAAATATGTTAAAATAAATAAGATAAATTTTGCACTTAACACAACATATATTACACACAAAAGAGTGCTCTTTGCAAAATAATGATACAATAAAAGATATTATTAAGTATTTGATAGATTTGCATCAATAATAATGATAAGAGATTATATCTTTTACTATCGTACTGTAAGTAGTTGTAAAAGATAAAAAAAAAAAAAAAAAGAAACAAAACAAAAATAAAAATTAAGAATGAAGAATGTAAAATACTTGATTGTGTTCTATCGAAATAGAGTATCTTTTTTTATATCAAAGAAAACAAAATTGAATACATCTGAAAATTGTCTGTACATAGAAGAATGATTTTGCTTGAAAGTTTTTATGATAAGAATATGTTTGAATTGGGATGATAAAAATACATATATATGTACAAATGCATGTGCATAATATAATTTTATAATTGATTTAATAACATAATCTTGAGTATTGAGAGCATTCACTTTTTATTCATTATATTTTATATATTTCAATAATTCTCTATTCATAATAAATAAATTCAAATCATTCATGTGTAGAAAAAAATTACACTTACATTAAAAAAGATTTTTATTATTAAATATCATGTTATGGAAAGATTTTATATAATATTTATATTGAATATTGTTGACTTTATTTCTTAATAATTTAAACTTATAAATTTGAAATTGCTAAAATATTATAATTTGTTAATCTTGGTCTTATATTTATAACTAAGGCTATCTATTTAACTTCTGATATATTTCTAATGAAAATTCTTTATCAATATTTATTACATGCTCTCTTTATCTTGTGTAAGTATACAAGAAAATAATTATGTATTACCAATTAAAAGCACAACTTTTGATACTCAATAATCACCCCTTTTATGAATAATATTTTTATAAGAATATATTTTCTGTTATTATCGAAATACGATATTCTTTTATATATAATACATGCATTTAGTTCCTTATAATAATTATTTTATCGAACAATTTTAATGCACAAATTTCTCTTGCATGTATTAAATACAAACTCATATATAAAGAATCATGAAATTACTACACGTATTATTTCTTAAGACGATTATTACATAACTATGAAATGTTTCATTAAATTAGAAATGAATATTTCTTAAAAAAATAATTAATACAATAGTATTTACAAAATTAAATATCACATATAATTTATATAAGTATTTACTAGGTTGAGTAAAAAGTCCGTTCGCATTGATGGTAACTTGTTGTTCTTGGTAATAAGTTGATCAAATCGAGAACAATACTTTTTTATCATACAATTCAACTTTAACTGTTTTTGATGGTTTTTGTTTTAATGTATACAATTGTTTCCTACGTTTTACATAATTAAAACATTTTATGTAATTTTCTTGTGAAAAAAATACTAACGAACTTTTTACTGAACCTAATAAATTATTTCTAATAACATTAATTTTATTATAAAAAAATGTTTCAGAATAAAAAAAGATTTAGTTGTCATAACATTAAGATAAAAATATTATTTAAGAATCATGTAAAATATATATAATTATAATATATTTTTGCTATTGAAAAAATATAATAATACCTGTAAACAATTATATTGGTTTCATTCATGAAATATGTTATATATAATAAGTAGCATAAATACTTTGTGATACTATTAGGAATAAAAAAAAAATAAAAAATTTTCATAATATAAGAGAAAATTTGTAAAAAAAATTATTTAGTATAGTATATCTATATATAAGATAAATATGTGAGTACACGTATTACATAAAGATAATTATTTTAATGTTGTATATACATACAATAAAAAATTAGACACATAGTTATACAAGATGTAAAATTACTTAGAATTATATTAATTCGAAGATAATCATGATATTAGGATTGCAAAATAAGAGTTATATCTCTCGAAAAATTAAAACGATAAAAATTAAACATAAAATTATGTAAACAATTATTATTTTTCTAATATATCAACTTTATTTACATAATAAATAAATTAATATTTATTATGTTTTTTTCCCAAAGTAATCGAGGGGAAAATATTATTAATTTTTAGTGTGTTATTATAAAGAAATGATATTTATGATATAAATACAGTTCTATGATAACACATATCATTATAAGTAACGTTAAAGTCAATAACAATTTTAATTTATATTTAATAATAAGTTATATGCTTATTGCTCCTATAAAAATTTTTATATCAAATAAACATATTTTATAAAAAAAGTTAAAAGGTTAAAAGGACTTTTTCGCCGATTTTTAACAATTTTAAAATTTCGCGGGCTTCAGTTCTCACTGACTTAAAAATTATTTGATTAGTAAGTACAAATATTTTGTATTTTAATTTTTAAAAATTATTTAAACTATTAGTTGCGCCCTTTAAGAATACACTATAAGAAGTTACTCATCCCCAAGATCATAATTACATTGAGAGTTTACTGTAATGCTAATATGTTTATAATATAAATATTGTTTACAAATATTTAATGCACTAGATGGCGTTTCGAACAATGTGGATAAATTTTCATATCTTTGTAGCGTGACTAGTTTAAGTTGTGTGGGAGAAATTATATATATATATATAGTTTAAATCTTTAAAATAAAAAAATATCTAAGACTCTATTTTTTTTATGGAAATTATTTATCTTTAACGATGTTACGATCGTGTTCTTTTCGTAAGCATATAGTGAAGAAATTCATTCGCTAATTCAGTTCTGCTATTGGTCAATGAAAAATATCCGTTTCGTTATTGGATGCAAATAAAAGAAGATATCTTTAATTCAGTAGTGAAAAAGATACGAGATTTGTTTTCAAATATTTGAAACACTTTTATTGAGACAGATTATATGACATCTTTTAGTTATTAACATCGTAGTCAAAATAAGATATATTTAACGTATTTTTGTGTGTGTGAATTGATCCCCTTTTTATACCGCATTAATATTAAAACATGTGTAAATAAGGTTAACTCATCAGAGATTACTTATATTTTGTGATGTCTATTTTAATCCTACTACTTCTCTGCAATAATAACACATGAATATACTACATATTTCAATAATATTATATTATAACATAGAATGTCTATTACAATTTTAAAATGTCTAGAAATTGGTTATATCAATTTCTCTAATGCTTAGTGAATACAATGAAAAGTAAAATGCCACAATTTCGGAGGAAAAAATCGGGGAAATCTTTTCCAGTGAAAGTTTCTACCTTGGATGCAGAATTGGAATTTAATTTAGAAGTTAGTGATTTATGATTAATTTTATATTAATATTTTCTTAAAATTTATTTTTTCTTTTCTAATGTTTCTTTCTATAAAATATTTTTTAATTTATCTTTACAGTGGAGATCTACAGGAAGAGATTTGTTTGATTTAGTGTGCCGTACTATTGGACTTAGGGAAACATGGTATTTTGGTCTTCAATACGAAGATTCTAAAGGATTTATATCTTGGTTGAAGTTAGATAAAAAAGGTAAACTTCATTGGGATTAACCCCTTGACATACAATGACGTCTCTGAAACGTCATTTATTTCATGTGTCATTGTAAACTTTGACGTCTACGAGATGTCAAGAATTATTTTTAGCTATTTCTGCTTTGAGAAGTATCACACTTTACAAAATTATTAAATTATTATTTTATAGTGTTAATTAATTATCAATCTTATTTTATATATTATCATTTTATTTTTATGTCAAGGGATTAAATTGCATTTGTAATTAGTAAATCGTAGTACTTGTTATAAAATATATGTTATTTACATTGTAGTACAAGATCAAGGCATTTCACAACAACCCACTACTCCTTTTATGTTTCTGGCTAAATTTTATCCCGAAGATGTGTCTGAAGAATTGGTACAAGAAGTTACACAACATTTATTCTTCCTTCAAGTGAAACAAGCTATTTTGTCGATGGATATTTATTGTCCTCCAGAAGCTTCTGTTTTACTTGCTTCGTATGCTGTACAGGCAAAGGTATTTTTAAAGATATAATATAAGTTTTCTTTTCTTCACGTATGGGTTAAAATTGATAATTTTTGCATACATAATTGAACTTATTTTTAAATTGATTTTTATCTTACATGATGATTTTTGGCAGATAAGTTTAATGTATACATAGGCGTACAAGTATATGTAGATATTGCTATGTTTTGATTATAATTATTACTGCACGGTTGTTAGTATGGGGACTATGATGAAGTTTCATACCGCCCAGGAATGCTGGCCAGTGAAGATCTGCTTCCACAAAGAGTCATAGATCAATATCAAATGACTGCTGAAATGTGGGAAGATAGAATTAAAATTTGGTATGCTGATCATCGTGGAATGTCTAGAGACGAGGCTGAAATGGAATACCTTAAAATTGCTCAAGATCTGGATATGTATGGTGTGAATTATTTTCCTATTAGTGTGAGTAAGATTAATCAAATTTTATCATTTCTAAATAATGCACAATTTGATTTAAAGTTTTAAGAATACATATTTGTATTTCAATTTTAGAACAAAAAGGAAACAAATTTGTGGCTTGGTGTAACAGCATTGGGACTAAATATCTATGAAAAGGAAAATAAGCTCGCTCCTAAAACTACATTTACGTGGTCTGAAATTCGACATATTAGCTTCGATGATAAGAAGTTTGTCATTAAACCAGTGGAAAAGACATCGCCAAACTTCGTGTTCTTCTCGCAGAAAGTTCGCATGAATAAACTGGTAAAAAAACAGTCAGATGTTGCCAGCTGGGTGAAGGGTTTGATAGCTTTAGGGTTGGACGAACATAATAGTGACGAAGGTGCTCACATATTATTTGTTAAGATCCTGGACCTGTGTATTGGCAACCATGATCTATTTATGCGAAGACGCAAGCCTGACTCCATGGAGGTACAGCAGATGAAGGCTCAAGCCAAAGAAGAGAAGTCACGGTAAATATATTTATCTTTTTCTTTCAAAATTTATTAGTTTAGTCATTTAGTTAAAGAAATCTAATGAAAGCTAATACAAATCAAAATTAAATTGATGATCGTTTTCTTTTTTTAATACTTACAATTGTTCTACATCATTCAGGTATGATATTATTTTTATATTTGAAGAAATTAATTAATTTATATTTTTACTAATTTTTATCAAAAAGTTTGAGACAGGTTTCATCCATCTACTTGGATGTGCTTTGGATTAGAAGACCTTAAAACAACGAAAGTATCTTCGTATGTTAGAATATACTTCTCTAAAAATGGTTCGGGGGTATTGAGAAAATTAGATGACTTATATACATATTATTTTATTGTATATATTTAAAAACATACAAAATGAATTTCAAAGAAAATTTTTAAAAGCTGATTCTAAATTACACAAATAATTTTTACTTACATCAGTAAAAAAAAAAAAAAAACAGATTTAATTAAAATACTTTTTAATTGTAGATAAGTAATATATTTATCACAATACAGTAAATATGTATATTCATCGATACTACATGCTATGATTTACTGAATGTTTCAGGTAATAGCTCTTCACAAAAGAATTTTTCATAATTCATTGAGGCTCCTGAGCACTCTCATATACATTATATAAATAAAATTTAGGACATACATGTTTTCAATACTGCCACAATGGAATTATTGGTAAATGTGGTTTGCATGCTATTATTTGTTATTTAATAAATTGACTTTTTGTATCAGTAATAATTTATAAATTATAAAAAATACATAAAAAATATAATATAAAAAACAAAATGAAAAATTTTACGAGTTCTTAGGAGCCTTGATGAGAATAGTAATTCAAATTCGTTAGTATTTAATTGATTACTAATCTTACTAGGAGACAGGTTGAAAGAAATAAGTTGGCAAGAGAAAAGCAGTTAAGGGAAGCTGCTGAAAGAGAAAAGGCTGCTATGGAACAACGCCTTTTACAGTATCAAGAAGAAATTCGTTTAGCGAATGAAGCTCTTGTAAGAATATTTATAATAATATATAGTTTGTAACGTATATATATATATAACATATATATATATATATATGTTACAATATATATATATTATTATAGAGAAGATCCGAAGAGACAGCAGATCTTTTAGCTGAGAAGAGTCGGGTTGCAGAAGAGGAAGCAATGCTCCTTAGTCAAAAAGCCTCAGAAGCTGAACAAGAAATAACACGAATTCGGTTAAACAATATGAAAGCTGAAGAAGAGAAGGTACATTTAGAACGAAAGACTAGGGAAGCGGAATTATTGACCGAAAGACTGGTACAAGAATCAGAGAGAAGAGCTGCAGAGGCAGAAAAATTGAAAGATGAATTGTTAAGAGCACGCATTGCTGAAAAAGAAGCTAAAGAAAAACTTTTAGAATTTCTTAGTAGAAATGCTTATACTGCTGCTATAACAGTAAGTAAAATCAAATTTAGATAAATATTATTGTTTAATCTTTATTATGTACAATATAGTAACATTTATTTTTCTTATAAATAGCCCGTTCCAAATCTGTTCCCTTCGACACAAGTATTTACATCAGATTTACAAGCGGATCTTCAAAATTTGCAATTAGATACTGAACCTTTACCATCCGATTTAACCTCGTATGATCTTATTGCTGATGGTGATGTAGATCAATTATCATTAGAGATAGAGAAAGAACGAGTTGACTATTGGGAGAAGAGTAAACATTTACAAGAACAGTTAAGAGAATTGCGATCTGAAATAGAAGTAATGAAAGTTGGTGAAAAACAGTGCGAATTTGATCAGTTACATGAGGAACAGATGAGACTTGGAGAAAATAAATATAGTACATTAAAAAAAGTTAAATCAGGTTCTACTAAAGCTAGAGTTGCTTTCTTTGAAGAATTATAATATAAAAGAATATAAAAGATCTGTGTTATACAAAATATAGGGATTAACGATTTTGAATGTTATTAAGAAAACATTCATTTTTGTTCTTATATTTGCATATTTCTATAGCTAAAAAAAAAAAACAATGAGAAAAGGCTATGTATATGTATTCATGTCATGCATTCATATCATTTTTCTAATGATCATTAAGCTACTGAAATTTGTGTTAACATATGCCGATTATCGGATTATATTTTTATGAATTTATTAATGACGAACTCTCTTAATAATAATTTTAAAGTTTTAAAACTTTTATCTTGGAAGATGAAAGAACAATATTATGTACTTTCTCTGATTTATATGTTTTTAAATGAAGTAGATACCTGTAGGTATTAAAATACAGGGATATCAATGAATACATATTATATATATGATAAATGCGTTTACATCTTAGTTTTTAAATATTTAATTTTTCTTTTAAATTAAATATAATCAAAATCTTCGGTAATAATTCCTTAGAAAATTTGAATCAATTGTATTTTTTGCTATATATATATATATATATATAAAATATAATATAATAAGATTATATATATATATATATATATATCCTTTTATTTATGGATTTTTCATATTACTACAATACATAGATTCAAAATATTACATACAATGTAAATTAAAGTATATATAGATTCATTCGAAAATTTTTAATTTGTGTAAATAAGAACTCTTCTTATTTTTTTATATAAAAATACATTGTCATGTCATTGTCACATCTCTGTGTATTTACACAGTGATACAGTGCTTTGTAGCAATAGAGTTTATACAGAGTGATACTATAAGATAAAAATTTTTGAAAAAATTCCAATAATTATTATACTTTGAAATAATTAGTTTATATTATTATTTTTTTTATTTTTTATTTCTTTAATATTTAAAGAAAAGTGCCTTATAATAATGCCTTAAAAATATATATGCGATAAAAAAAGAAATAATTATTAAAATTGATATCATGTGTGCTTATATATTTTGTTATTAAATGTGCATATTATATAATAATGTATTTATAGATATCATTAAATTTGTTTTAATGGCCATAGACTGCAAAATACGTTAAGTAAAAGAAATTAAACGTATTTAATTGTCAATGCAAATTAGAATTTGTTATATTAGAAATGACTCAACAATAATTCCTGCATATATTATATGTATTGAGCGTATGATGGAACGTTTGTATGGAAATGAATGTAAATGTGTGAATTTAGACACAAGTACTACTATAGTTTATTATTATTTTTTTAAATCTGGTTTTTTTAAAATAATCTAAATATTCTCTTTCTTTTTCATTCATTCTGACCAATTCATTCATATTTTTTCTAAATTTTGTAGTAGCTAGATTATTCCAGTTATGCTTTCATTATAGAATGTATACGTTATTAGTATAATTATAAAAAGATTTAAAAATTGATATCAGTATTCAATGTATTAAATATTAAACGATTTATTTTTACTTATACATTCATATATTTTTTAGACATCCTTTTTTATATAAACCATATGTTTAATGGCAAATGTATTATTATTTTTTTCTTTATATATATATATATATATATATTTAATTGAATATAAAAGAAGTGGAAGGCTTAATCTGATTAAATTCTTTCGATAATGTTGGCATCATATATAAACTTTCATTATCTTCAATATTTGGTACTCTAAAAAATAAATCACGCATCAGTGTTCCATCGCTAGTAGGTTCATCCAAATCACTTTTACTCTTAGTTTTTATTTCTTGAGAACGTTTAAGATTCGGTTCGATATTATATCTTCTAAAAATGATTTATATTGAATCATTATTAATTATTTTTTTGCATAAAAAAATTAGATTATATTAAATATAACATTAATATATATACCTAATGTCATATTTTGTTGTATACGAATGAAGATCATCAGTTGTTTGAGATGCTTTATCAACCATTTTATTTTTAAGAAAATTTTGAGCTAAATCTCTGGAATGCATTAATTTCTCTAATCTAAGAGATTCTTTCAATCTTTGAATTTTTGCAATAAGATTACTTTTCTCTATTTCTTTTTGACTAATAATCTCATGAATAATTATTTTCTCACATAAAAGATCTCTAACATTTTCAACTAAACTCATAAATTGTTTTTCTTGTGCCATCAATTGACACGTTAACAATTCAAGCGCTTGTATAATTTGAATTCTTAAACTTGTTCCTTTCGTTTTTGCTTCGGAAAGCTAAAAATGTAAAAGGAAATTGAAATAAGAATATATAACAAATAAGAGAGAAAATAAATTATATAAAATATATTCATTTTACTTTATATTCTAATTGTTTCTTTTCACAGTTGTGACGATTAAGAAATATTTGATATTCTTCTAGTAATGCTTTTTTTTCAGATTCACTCACAGCTAAATCAGATTTTACTTCGTGCATTTCACGAGTGCATCTATGTATAAATATATTATATATATATATGTATTAAATTTAGAATGTATAGTAAATGAGAATAATTATTTCTTACTTTGCCAAATGTTTGATTAATAATGATATTCGTTTCCTATCGACAGGACATAAATCTTGTATGTGTGAAAAATTATAAGTGCTTTCTTTATCATTATCATTATTACATTTTGAGCATGTTGTTTTTATCACTTTTATTTCTTCAATTTCTGTTAATATATATGTTATATTGATATAATAGTATAAAAATGCACATGTATACAAATTTTTTTTTTATTTACGTGCAATTTACCTTCTTCGCCACATCTCATATTGAACAAATTTTGTTGAATCTGCAAAACACGTTGATGGAATTTGGCGAGCCTATGTGTATGGATTTTTTCTCATTTTGTCTTCTATACTTCACAAGTCAATAACTTAAATCAATAACTCAACGAGAAGTCAAAATTCAATGGGAATAAATAATGATAATAATATGTAATAATAATTTAAAGGAAAAAACAAAAATATATCTGATACAAATAAATGCACTTATACATCAAAATATATGCACCTTTTAGACCATTTTACATAAGAAGTCATAAGATTATTTTTATCGTTCATTGTTTCATACATTCTCACATAAAGCAATACTTTTAATTATTTTGTAATATAATTAGAAAAATATCTTATTTATTTTTCACAATAAAAAATATTTGTCACATTTATGACGCATAAAAATAGAAAAAAAAAATCCAAAGTAAAATTGTATTTACTATTATGCAATTGTTTTAATATATTTGTTTTCATATTACATAGAAACTACTTTAATACAATTATTTTTGACAGATAGTTTTTATACATAAATATATAGTGAGTCACAGAAGTATTCGTACTTCCACATCGTTAATTTTAAACAATTAATATTTACTTGTAATGCAATGTTTCAAAATTTTTATAGAGAGAAATACATTTTAGGATTATGAAACATTTAATCATCAATATCAATTTTATTATAAAAGAATATTTTATTGTAAAAAAAAAGGTTAATTTTTACATAAATGATAACAAAATTAATTTCATCAGAATATGTCCCATCATTTCAAAAGTATTAAAAAATACAAAGAATATCATTTAATAAAAAATTAATGATATATTTTCATTATATCTCTTATGTAGATACGAATAGTCTTGTGAGATCAACTTTGTTATCATTTATGTACAATTTTATTTCTCTAGCATTAAAATGTTCTTTTATAATAAAACTTATATTAATTTGAAAGTTTAATAATCCTGTATTGGTTTCTAGATATAAGAATTTTAAAAGTGCATTATAATCAAATATCCATTATTTAAAATTAACAGTGGAGGTAATTACGAATAGTTCTGTAATTCAATATATATATACTTGTACCTTAACAACAAATACAACTGTTAATATAAATTTTCTTTTCTTTTTATTATTACTATTAATAATAATATGAGAATATGAGATTAATTCTAATATACAATTAATATTATCTCATTTGTATAAAAAATTAATATTCTAAGTGTTCAAGTAACTAATATCAAAAAGTTATTTACTGTATGTATATTTGATAATAATCTTTTTTATATATATCACAGTTATATACAGACCAATGTTTATTAATTAACGTGTGTATATTTATTATGGATATCAATTTCAGTTTTCTATAATTTAAGTAATAGGATTATTATTATTATTATTATTATTATGTTATATATACAGAGTGATGAAAAATATTATACCTGCTAAATGAACAAATAAATCTCTTAAAATAAATATTAGTAGCCTGAAAAATTGGTTAGTAACTTTACTTACAACTCTGTGTAATATATATATATGTATATATATCCATATGTATTCTTATATGCAAACCTTTTCGTTGTTTTAATCTAATCAACCGGTTGCATATTTTTAAATGCATAATACTATAAACAATATAAAGGAATTATTTTTAATACACTGTATAAAAGTTACTTTTTACCTTGATATTTGTGACTAATAATTATTTTATATGGTATACCAATAAAAATTAATTGTATATTTTCTTTTTCACACTCCATATACACAATACAATATATATATGTATATTTCTTTTTAAATTTAATTTTTATTAATATATATATCAAAATATATATATATAGATTCGTCTGTGTGTGTTTGCAATTTATTATATACTCAATATTTTTAATCATTTCTGCTCATTTGTAAATTTTTAATTATATATATGTAATATTTTGAGTATATAATAAGCTACTATAGAAAAGAAATGTCTTATAACCGTAAACAATATGTAAAACTATAAGAGTATGTTTATATGAAATGCAAAAGCATTTAAATAAATCTCAACAAATAAAATTAATGAAACTGATATAAAATGTATTATTTTTAATAAGAAATAATTTTAATGTTTCTTTTCCGTAATTTCATAACAAGAAATTATTTTCATTACTGTCGACCATTAGCAGCAGCATTTTGTTGCGCTTGGATAAATTCTGGATAATCTATATATCCATCCCTATTCATGTCATCTACAGCAAGAATTGGATCGATTAAATTGATCAATTCACTATCCTTAAATAATTTGTCTCCGCCACTCGGTGTTCCAGGTTCCTTATTACTTTGTTCTATATATACATATACCGGGTAAAGCATTTAAAATGGGCTACCTAAATAACTCGATTGTTATTGGTAATAGATAAAAATGTGCCAGACGAAACTTACTTTGATTAGAGAGTGATACAGTTCCATATTGTGTACATGTAACGTACTGTCATACGGTACGGTTTTATTTTTTATCCTTTAAGCAAAAATAAAAAAAGAACCATAATAAAAATAATGAATTAACTTTCATATATTATACCATCCTCGAAACCAAGTAAGTTTCGCCTGACACATTTCTTTTTATCACCATTAACAATCGAGTTATTCAGATGGCCTGTTTTAAATGACTCACCCGGTATAAAAAAATTATTTATTTATTAATACAACATATTGCTTATATAGTATCTAATTCATGTAGAAATATAATTTTTATATTTACCATGCCAATGAATGAGAGATTTTATTAACTCGCATCCATCTAATTTGTTGTTGTTGTCTGAATCATGCATTTTAAAATAATGAAACTGCAATTCTTGTTCCGTCATTTTACTTGTATCGATTGGAACTTCCATATGTTCTGCGATATGACTAAAAAAATATTACTTTTGAATACAAGTTAAATACAAGTTAAATAGCAAGTTATTAACAAATTCAACTAAATATCTTGTAAATGTTGATATTCAATTTATTTATAAAATTATTATGTTACTTACGCTTTTTCCTGAGCTATATTGGCAGCATTAAGTATTTGTTGAGGTTGTTGATGATTGTGATTGTACATTTGTTGCTGTACAGGGGCTTGAACAGGTACCTGTTGTTGTACAGGCACTTGATGAGCTGGTACATGTTGTACCGGTGCTTGATGAACATGTTGTACTGGAACTTGCTGATGTTATATCGATACAATAATTAAATTAAATAAAAGATTCAATTTTTTTAGAGCTGTTATATATTATATATATTAACCATATATTTTTATTATATATTAATTTACTGATTTACTTGTTGTGGTACTTGTTGTGGTACTTGTTGTGGTACTTGTTGTGGTACTTGTTGTGGCACTTGTTGGTGCATTTGTTGGTGCATTTGCTGATTGGGCTAGAAACAAAAATAAATAAATTCTATTAAAATAAAAAATATTTTATTACAAGAAACATAAGAAATGATGTTCCTTAATAATAAATACAATTTTAAAAGACAGGGAAACATTGAATCTCTTATTCCAAATATACCATATGTTTCTTAGGATAATAAGAATAAATGTATACCTGCTGAACTTGATAATGTTGAGGAGGTACACCTGGTGCAATCCTTTGACCTTGTCCAAATGTATTATCTACTCCAAAAAATCCAATAAGTAACCACAGAGTCCAATACATTTTGAAACACTGCTTTGAAAATAATCACTGTAACAAACCGGTAAATAAGAAACCTGTTCCTTTCAATCAGACAATAAATACTAACAATTTCTTTTGTTGATAATGAAAAACTTATTATTTTGAATAGTATACAAAAAAAAAAAAATAAAAAGTACCTTAATTATATTTAAAAAGGAAAGAAAAGATATGTAAATGAATATGTATTTATATATGCGACTTTCTCTTTCTTAACAAATCACTACTGTGTTCACTGTTTCAGGTTAAGTTGTACAAACAGCCATGCAGATCTGACGTGGACTTATATCATGATAGCGCTAGTACTGGCTGTGGCTGATAGTACTTACTACTTACTACTGACTGTTGGATAACCTGTCCTGAACTATAATGAGTAGTATATACATGTCTGCTGCTTCGAAATGTGAGTAATATAAGTTTCTAATTACGCGTTACATGGGGATCTATATATGTATACTACAATATTACATTGACAATGTTTAAAGTTTCCTGAGATTATTATAATATGCGTATGTATTAATGAATATTATGAATAAAAAAATGTGATTTTAAAGCTGACATTTATTAAATGTTGCAAAAAGCGAACTATGGACGTCGCGGAGGACGCCGAAGGATCTTTAGATCCCCGTATACAGGTGACTCATTGATATTAATTTTTATTATAACATTATTATTATTATATTTTTTATTTGTTTTTATATTTATTTATTCATGTATTATCATATTTTATTTATTTTATTTTCGTATATAGATAGTTGATGTATACGAAAATAAGGTTATGTACTTTTGACATTTGTAAGTAACGCCCGTACTACTTTGTTACCTGGTACAATGGCCTAGTTATCTATGCTTTTATGTTTTATTATGAATTTTTATTTTTATATATGATTAATAACATATAATTATACACTTTCTCTCTTTCTATGAATTTTAATGTAATATTATTTATTTTATATTATTATATAATTTTCATTAAATAATTTTATTGACAATAATGTTGTTATGATTTAAGATGATGGTGATGATATAAGTATTCTTTTTTTAGATCGAGTTGGAGAATTTAAACAATGCTACAGATGATATTAATAAACTTGAGACTGAATTAGATGTGAGTTAACGAGATAAGATATCAGTCTGATTATTTTTCTTTTTTACTATCTGTTATAATTATTAATATTTATATAAATGTGTATGTAGGAAGCACATACCGCATTTAGACAATTGCTTTCTGAATCGACAAGGCGATTGAAAGAAGTAGCAGACAAATTAGGAATAACATGTATTGAAAAAGCAAGATGTTATTATGAAGCTTTGGAAATAGCTCATTTAGCACAAGTCAGTCTTGATATATAAGTATAGATTTAATGTTTATAAAAAAGAGAGAGAGAGAGAGTAAAAGAGAATAAAATTTCTAATATTTATTTTATATTTTAATATTACATCTCTACTTAGGTGGAATGTCAAAAACAAGCTCAATTATTTCAAAGAGCTAGCGAAATACATGCAGCTGCTAAAGAAACTGTGGCTTTGGCCGAAACAAGGTTTACATCACATCAACACGAATGGAAGTTTGACCAAGCTTGGCAGGATATGTTGAATCATGCTACTATTAAAGTAAATAGTTTTTGTTATTTATTTCAGTATCTGTACAATAAGATAATAATAAACAAATAATATGTAGGTTATGGATGCAGAAAATCAAAAAGCAGAATGTGGTAGGGAACATCATAGGAAAGCAATGATATTTCAAGATGCAGAGCAAAAGTTATTTCAGTTGGAAGAGAAATATCGTCGTTATATCATTAAATCTAGGCCATACTTTGAAGTGAAAGCTCAGTGCGATCAGATGTTAACAACGCAAAAGGAAAGAGTGGAGTATTTGCAGAAAGCAATAAAAGATGCAAAAAATAATTATGCATCGAGTCTTCGTATTTTAGAAGACATTAGTAATCAAATACATCAACAAAGAAAAGATAATGGTATTATTGATACAAAAAGACTGCCTATAGTTGTAATATATGTTGTTTGCAAACATATATCTTGTTACTACTTTTATAGATATACTTGCTAATGGGCCGAGAGAACCAGGTGTAGGTGCAGAATTGATTAGTTCAGGAGATAATATGACATACAAAATGGATTTTGAAAATATAAATCATAAAAATATAACGTCTACTATAGATAATGAATATCGGAAAAATACTCACCATCAACGAGATAATGTTAGCATAAAAACTTTATTTTTTTTTTTAATAAAATTTTATTCAGTCTTATAGTATATATATTACATATCTAATTCTTTTAATTTCAGGATGATGTTAAGAATGCATCGTGTATCGGGCATCTTGGTCGAAGATCTGTAGATGGTAGCGAAGCTACATCTAATCAATGGGAATTAGAGTTACAAGCTAGTATGGAAAAATTAAATTGCTCTCCATTTAATATTAAAGATTCAGAGAATGATGAGAGAAAGTTAAGAGACATCTTTGATAAAAATATATGTGATATGCATTTAAGGGATAAGAACAATATGGTTGATTTTACAGATAATTTAAAAAGCGAAGAGTCTTCTGAATGTACAGTGAATTCATTAGAAAAATTATCTACAGATATAGAAATAAGTAAAAAATTCATGGGTGTACCATCAGTATCAAGTTCAACAAGTTTGCAATCATTATGTCATAATATTTTCAATTCAGTTCAAGCAAGATCAAAATATATTAACGACATTACTAAATCTTTATATAAGGAATCTAATACAAAAAAAAATTCTCCTATAGAAACAGTAAAAAGTTCAGAAAAAGTAGTAAATTTAAACACGTCTACTACGTATTTATCAAAAAGAATCTCAGAAATTGATTTAAATAATTCAAAATCTCAAACAAAAGCCATAAACAATTTACAAGACATTAAACATAATTACAGTATGCCAAAATTATATGATTGTACAGAATCTAATGTTATTGACAAGGTAATGACAAACGTTACAAGTCCTAGTTTAAACAATTTATCAACATCTACTTGTTATAGTGCCAATTCTTCACCAATAAAATCGGTTAATTTATTTTCATCGAAAAGTAAACGATTATCAAACAACGAGTTACATAGAATTCAATGTAAAACATCTTTCGAAAGATTAAGAAAAAAATCAGCTAGTATAAAAGAACTGCCACTATTATCTTTAGTCGGTATTTCAACAACGTCATTTCCAACGCGCAAAGAAAAAAGTAGCAGCATGAACGATTTAAATTCTAAATAAACGGAAGAAAGTGTAAGTTAATAATTCTAACTTCGGTCTATGTATATTTAGCTAGAATTATGTACGATAATTAATCTAACAAACGAACAAAAATAATTTCAAGTGATACTTTGACATTGTGATGAACTTTCGAAAATATTCACATAGGAAAAGAAAAGAAAAACAAAATAATAACAAAACAAAACAAAAAATAAATCTATAATATTCAAAAATATACATATAATTATAACATTATAAAAATAAATTAATGGAATTTAACATTCGAAGATGAATCTATTTGTTAATAAAAAAATATTTAGACCTGAAAAGGAAAAGAATGTTAGGTATAATTCAGTAACAGGGTTTAATGCGTGAGCTGCTTAATAAATATATAATTTAATATTATATACATATTATACACATGTAGATAAAATTACTTATAATTATAAGAATTGTTTGTATTTTTAGGCTCATAGGTATGATATGGAAGTAAGAAATATAAGTGTTTCACGATTATTTTTTTTTTATTGGATTTTTCTAAATTTTCGACGTTTTTTTTTTTATTTACTGTAAATCCTGAGCTTAAGGCTTGCGTCGCTATATATTTATTTGTATTGATATACAGAGTGTTTTACATATGTGTGTATAACTTTAGTGCTGGTTTCAATACGCTGAAATAAAAAAACAGATTTATAATGCGGGAATAAAGTCATGTGGGCATATGACTGTATAATTTTTTTTTCTTATTTTAATGTACTGAGACTACTGAAGTTATATTTTGGAACACCCTGCATATATATAT